GCAAAGAGTGCAGAAAAGTCGCTGAAGCAAACCTGATTGTGGAGAGAAATATGACCTTTGCCGCAGCAGTGAAAGTTGGCCAATACCAATTGGAAGTGACCAATTTGGGTTACTCTGTTGTTATGCTCAGATGACGATGACAAACAACAAAAACAACAACAACAGGTAAACAAACTGACATCATAAAGTACAGAAAGCTGCTGTGGTTTTTGGAGTTCAAGGAAGGATTGTGGTGCCTAATGTGTACACAGGCATCCTGCAGAGAACCAGACATGGTAGCGATGATGCCTCGTTCAGCTCAATATGCTTCGGATGGGCGGTAGGGTTCAAGGATTATAAGACTTCACAGATTTAATCGTAGTTTTACGTCCAAGCAATTACAGAAAAGCGGAACTCCGGCTATGCACAGTTTTGCTTACTACTTGAGGTTGACAAAACTGAGTGAAAATTGTGACCCACAGTGAGGTGCTCTACTCAGAGACTTGTGATGTCCTGCGCCGGCATGTGCCCACACTCAGTCTTCTAGAGGGAAGGTACAAAAGACATTAAGAAAAGCGTAACCTACCGGCAACCAAAGATATTCTCCATTTTGCCTCAAAGGATCATCACTCAATGATCAACAACGAGTGGTTTCTAGGGAAAGTTAAGGTTGGAATTCCACCTGAAGTTGAGATTAACCTCTGTAAGGTATGTGCTCTCGGAACAGTTGGTTCATCGCTCTATGTTGCCTCACTGCCACTGTGCCAGAAAAATCGCCTGAGTTGATGGCGGTGGGATACTCGCATGGGAGGCGGCGCCTGCTTTGAACTAATCATCTATAAGTAATCATCGCTCTATTGTTTGACCATATTTGGCATCAACTGAAAGCTATGCATAGTTTTCACGCTTCAGTACTTGAATTTACCGACGGAACCAGCGTGCAGTAGTGGAGGCTTCAACGCATCTATAAGATTAATGAAAGAGCAACCTAACGAACGATTTTAATTAATCTGAGTCCCGAGTACAACTGAGAGTAGAGAAGCGTGGTTGGAAAATAGAGGTTTGCCATGCCTGGTCAGTCACGTGAAAAGAATCGGTCGTCGAGCTCTCATTAAGTAGTTGTACAGACACGTTGTACGGAATAGTAATGAATGTGAAAGGTTTGTATTATTTCAACTTGCTGAAAGGATGGAATAACACGAAATTCATAGAGAAGTTGGGTACCGGCTCCCCCCTTCATATTTCCACTTTATATTCTGCTTCAACAATCACCTGGCTACTGTTAGATCTTTCGTTCACTCGAACTTGGACGTATGATTTACAATGCGCAAGTCAGAATGAGAAAAGCGAATGTACAGAAAAGTTTCGTTGGGATATGAACGTGCAAGATGTATCACTTGGGGTTCTTCTCGGCATTCAGCCACGTGATCAGAAACAGCTTGGTTTGTCTCCGTCGCAGTGCTCTTTCCTTGACAAGACGAAACACCCAGATGGGCTGGCAGTACAAAGACTGAAACGGTTTTCGATACTCATTGCCATCATCATTCATCAAGAATTTTTTGTCGGAAATGAAGGCTCTCGAAATTTCGAACTTTTACTGCAACTCATAATGGAAAGTAACT